TCACAAATGTTTTTTGTTATAATATGGAACTCACGAAACCAATATTCTGTTTCTCATTTTAAATTTGTAGATCTGTCTGCACTTTACTAATGACCATTCGAGCACTGATGGTATTCATCAGGCTTCTTTTGTCGAGATTTGAAGGTGTTATTTGTAAGTCTCTACACTGCAGCGTCAGCACAAGATGATTTCTGTGTCTCGGTAATTTACTTTCGAAGATCTTTCACGACAACTTGTCCATACTTATGGCGGATATTTATTTTGTTAAAGTTAGAAATGTCAATAGAATGGATGTTTTTATTACACCAGTTGCAACGTTTCGCTGACTACAAGATCAACTTCATCTGACAAATGACCAGTGTCCATCAACAAACGCCCGCACATCTACTGTCAATTGTTAAACAAAGTGTTGCTGAATAGCCTACATTACAATGTAGCAATCTCTTTCCTACCCTCTGTTTACCATCTCGTCCGTCCATGTTCTACCTTACTATACATAGGATAATAGTACAGCCGGAAAAAAAATGATACAATTCCTACCATTCTGTAGACATAAAAGTCTGCCACATGTATATACACAGGAGGAATTCCAGTAACATCGAACATCGACATAACGTTATGTTTTAGTTAGTCAGTCAGAACCAGTAGTTCACGGGTTCACACTAAATTATATATTACTGTATTTTTTCTTCTATGTCACGCGCAATAGCACCAATGATCAAAGACAAGATTGTTTTGTCACTGAACAGGAAATGAATTATTCAGATGAATTTCTTTTCGGCGACTTTGTGAGTCTGGTTTTATTTGACGAGAACAATTTTCTTTCTCGCACCTTTAAGCTTTGTAGTTACACGTTCATTCATGATAAAGTAACGTTCCTAGACTTTTAAACCAACTCTAAATTGATTGTTATAAGATCACCGTGTTAATGTTGACAAGGGTAATGGCAGTCAGGGTGGTTTTGAACGAAAAAACAAAGGTTTTATAACATTTTATTTGTGCATGTACCGCAGCAAGACATGCAAAAATAAATAAAATTATAACAAAATACCAGCAAAAGAAAGATATACACGGAGTCTCCTGAACAACGTACAAGGACAATAAGACCAGGTGTTCCAGAAGAGCAAGCGTCGTATGCTCTATCGATGCCCCCCCCCCTCTCTCTCTCTCTCTCTCTCTCTCTCTCTCTCTCTCTCTCCCCCTCTCTCTATTACTCTCCCCCCCTTCTCTCTTTCTCTCCCTCTCTCTCTATTACTCTTTCTTCCCCCCTCTCTCTCTCTGCGTTTAAGTGTTGTGGGTTATAATAAAATGTTAAGGCATTTATTATAATAAAATGTGAAGGCATTTGTGAATGTATTCTACCATTTACAATACAACAATAGACTCATAAAAAGGTGTTAGTGAAACTAAATTTATTAAACGTGTTTATCAATTATATAACAAGCTTTAACACAACCATATATAGAATACATAGTCAGTGTCTTAGAATATAAGTTGTATTTTGGCGAGTGTGAAGAAAGACAAAAATGACAAGCCTCTAGTGAGCCATTTTTGTTTTTCTGTTCCGAGCCAAAATACAGCCTATATTTTCAAACACTGACCATGTATTCTATTTATCCTGCAACACTGACTGAACAGATTTGTTGTTCAATCTGTGTTTATCTGACATTGACGTTACGCTTAATTTTACCTGTTAACGAACGCCAAATAATTGCTCCGCGCGAAAGCATAGTCCCAAACTTCATTCGACATAACAGCGATTTTATGAATTTTCGTAAATCAACTTGTTAATTACAACACATAAAATGCCTTATTTCAACAATTATTTGTATCTTTAAATTGGTATTTTAGTAAATTTTGTTGAATAACTGCACGTGCTATAATACAGATGTTTTCCGCCACTGCCGAATACAGCAAAAATATACGTGGCAGGTGTATTCGGACAATGGCGGTGTCAGTTGCAGAATAAAATGACATATATAAATAATGATATTCTATGACCATCCTCTCTCAGTCCTCATCAGTAAATAAAACATTGACAATGTATTCATCGACATATTTCTCGATGTTTATGAAAGGGAAAAAATATACAAGAATGTACATGCTGTATTGATTTTTATGATACCTGTGTTGTTAATTGATGTCTATCATTGGTGTCTGATTAAACACATGTCCTCATATGACATTAGCCGTTTGTGTCTACTTAAACCCCTTTCCTCATTTGACACTGACTGGTGGTGACTACAATCAACACCTGTCCTAATATGACACTAACTGTTGATGTCTATAAATACACCTGTCCTAATATGAAACTAACTGTTGATGTCTATAAATACACCTGTCCTAATATGACACTGACTGCTGATGTCTACAAATACACCTGTCCTAATATGAAACTAACTGTTGATGTCTATAAATACACCTGTCCTAATATGAAACTAACTGTTGATGTCTATAAATACACCTGTCCTAATATGACACTGACTGTTGATGTCTACAATCAACACCTGTCCTAATATGACACTAACTTTTGATGTCTATAAATGCACCTGTCCTAATATGACACTGACTGCTGATGTCTACAAATACACCTGTCATAATATGACTCTGACTGTAGATGTTTACAAAGACACCTGTCCTAATATGACACTGACTGTTGATGTCTACAATCAACATCTGTCCTAATATGACACTAACTTTTGATGTCTATAAATGCACCTGTCCTAATATGACACTGACTGTTGATGTCTACAAATACACCTGTCCTAATATGACACTGACTGTTGATGTCTACAAAAACACCTGTCCTAATATGACTCTGACTGTGGATGTTTACAAAGACACCTGTCCTAATATGACACTAACTGTTGATGTCTACAGTCTACACCTGTCCTAATATGACACTGACTGCTGATGTCTACAAATACACCTGTCCTAATATGACACTAACTTTTGATGTCTACAAAGACACCTGTCCTAATATGACACTGACTGTTGATGTCTACAGTCTACACCTGTCCTAATATGACACTGACTGCTGCTGTCTACAAATACACCTGTCCTAATATGACACTGACTGTTGATGTCTACAAAGACACCTGTCCTAATATGACACTGACTGCTGCTGTCTACAAATACACCTGTCCTAATATGACACTAACTGTTGATGTCTACAGTCTACACCTGTCCTAATATGACACTGACTGTTGATGTCTACAAAAACACCTGTCCTAATAATTATGACACTGACTGTTGATGTCTACAGTCTACACCTGTCCTAATAATTATGACACTGACTGTTGATGTCTACAATTACACCTGTCCTAATATGACACTGATTGTTGATATCTACAATTACACCTGTCCTAACATATATCATTGTCTGCTCCAAAGTTAAACAAGTAAGTTACGTACCATACAAGGCAGATGTGCTGATATATATCATATAATGAAATGAACATGTAAAAACATACCTTGTATATACAACATTAAAGTATAGCGATTTAAGTATCACAAATTAATACAACATACACCAGTATAACTTATAACAAACAATATCTGATAATAGACACAAGGAATTTTACAATAGAATCAATTTATAGACATATTTATTTATACAGTAAAGTCAGTTGGATGTTCCAGTCAATCAGTGGTAAACACAGTATGTTTAAACCTATTCGAATGAACAAGTAAACATTTACAAATCGAAAAAGAACACAAAATACAAACCTGTGTGATTAAAATCAAAATGGTGGATTTTATAAAGTTTTATGAGTGAACACGCTCTTAGTATAAAATTGCTTTATTGTAGCTGTTACATAAATAGCTGTCACATGACCATCTGACAAGCTGTCACATGACTGACAGCTATTGATATCACCTATTTACTCGATGAAATATGATTTATCTCCCGTTGCACGATAAACGAGGCTATTTACTAAGTATCGTTACAGAAAGGTAAAAAACACAGCTCCTATTAAATAAGTTAACGTTTTAAAGTTCGTATTGCTTTCAGATATTCGACCCTATATTTTTGCCAAGCACAATCAGGGAAACCAGTACAAAATCGGACGTATGTAAAATTATTGATGCAGAGCCCTTGGGTATGAAATAACAAAACGATTCGCTTCACTAATCATGACACAGTGTATCCAGAAACGAAACATTCTGATCAATTTCTAGCCCCCATAATTATTGTACATATCCACATTTCACAGCTTTCTCAGATTTTAATAGAGTTTCTTACTTGACATATGTTATAGCGAAAAATAATCACAGGTAGTTGTATATTAGGAATCTATGCATAGTCATGTCAAATTCGTAGGTTGATTGTATATTGCACTCCCGGTAAAAGAGTTTATGAATAGCTTTGAACTGAATTATTCTATTGTTATTTTCTATAATCTGTCCTGTGCTATTCCCCTACTTCATATCAAATAACCCAGTACATGTTTTCATTAATAATACGATTTAAGAGAAACCTGAAGTTTGATATAATAAAAATCTTGTAATGGTAAAGATACGATAAATATATTACGATATGATAGAAAAAAATCAGTTCATATCAATATCATCACAACAAACAGGTCGATACAGCTGATATCTTGACCCTCATTACATACATAGAATATTTCATCGAGTTTTCATTTAATATGAAATTTCATAAAAACGACCCTTGTACGTTTTAATTTTGAGAATAAATTTGATATTTGTTATCACATAACCCTGAAAAAAACTTGTATTTGGAGTACAGAATCGAACAGAAGATTAATCGTTTGGACTTTTTTTTTCAAATCATGAACTGACGTCATTGTCTTTATCAGCAGTTTTTTTTTTTTTTTTTTTTGAATTTTGAATGATGCAAACGAGTATTTTTTAATAACATAATCAAACTGTAACTGACGTCACATTTGAAATCTAAAATATCATTAAAAGATGGTACATATAAGCGGAAGGGGCTTTCATTTCTCACAGACATTATACAATGTTAATGTAGTGGTTCATCCCCTGGTGAAAATCACGGAAGTAGCAATAGTATTTATTGCTAGGAAGATCCAGAAAGAAAAGAAATCAACAGCCGCCGTCACATCGGACCAAGAAGTTTCTATAAATAACGATCCACACAAGTTGTGTTCTGTTGGGAGTTCTTCATTTTCATCACGTGCCATTTTTTCAGAACCTTTGTCAAGATCTGAAACCTTATCAAGATGTCTGCACTGAATTCTTCGGCTGATATGTACAAGGCCTATCAGAAGCAATGGGATTTCGTGTGAAGATGTATGCCTGTAGCTGATCCGTAATTCGATCGTTGTCAATATGATTATGACTGTTCCCATCATCATAAGAACAAATAGATATTTGCTCAGTAAGGATTGGGTTGAGCTTACAGGCAGGGATTCACCGACTATGGTAAGGAAAACAGCAAATGCTAAGTACACAGTCATACAGAATCCCATTTTCTCGCCGCTTTCAATAGGCAGAACAAATGTAAATACTGCCAAAAAGGACAAGAGCATCACTGGAACAACAATGTTGTACATATAATATTCTGATCGCCTCCGAAAAGTAAACGAAAATGTTGCCATGGTTCCCTCTACATACAATGCAAGAGTATCAGCCGCGGTTGACACAAGGTCCCATTTGCTGTTTTCCTGGTACGATTCCAAATCGATAGTGTTCTTCCCAACTATGAAATCAATATCAATAGCTTCCATACTACTCGTCCACACACCAAATGTGATATTGCAAGTTTGTACATCAAAAGGAAACTCTGAAATGTCTATGGAACATTTCGTCTCGAAGACTTCATATGGAAGCCATTCCACTAAACCTTCATGCGATATTCTCGTTAGTATAAAGTTATCTCCTAATACTGTCATCTTTGAATATCCATTGGCGAGAGCGATATCCGGTTTCCAGATGTCATTTTGCGGAATGTAAATGTGATTGATTCCGCCATAACTATCAGGCGTCCATGTTATATGATTGTCTTTCCACGACAGGTACAAATATGCCGTTGCTATCATTTTCCCTGCCACTTCGTCAATGGTATTTATACTGACGAGATGGAAGACCAGTCCTACCTCGGTAACATCTGTCTGGTTAGTCGCTGGTCGTACTCTTCTATTGTACGAATTTTTGGTAAATATATTGTCGAGCAAAGCTTTTACATCATTTGATGTACCGCAACTTACCAGCATAGGTAATGCTGGTAGAATAAGAGTGTAAAACATCCCTGAAAAAAGTTTTAACATTACCGTTTGCGTTTCTTCAACGTGCCCACTCCTACAGATAACTAATAGGTATTGACATGCGAGTCCCTTTGGTCACACTGATTATTCTAGCAAGAATACCTGAAACAGTCTTAAGACGTTCTGAATAATTTAGCATTTTAACGATTGTTCCAAATGTAAATTATTGATTGATGATTTCACGGGTGAGAATTCTCCTGCCAACATTGATCGTCTAAGCAGGAATTTTAATCTATTTGCTGCATTTAGAAAATTAAAAAACAGGAAAGGCAGTTTTAATCAAACTAGTGGTGATTTTATTTGATTTGTCTACATTAGATGGCCAAGGTATCACTCGTTAGCAGAACATATTCATTCATTATGATATTTTCATCCACGCAATAAGTGGTTTAATGGTGTAACAGATTATTGACATATTGGAGTACAAAATGCGCCCCTCTCTTAGCTGATCTCCTTTGTCTTTATATTAGGCTGGATTTATAGAAAAGCTTATCGAGACAATCTACAAAGACCTTACAAAGTTCTTCACTTTCAGAATTCGTGATGCTTTTTGTCTTTGAATAATAAACGGTTCTTTCCAGAATTGGAATCAAGGATACGACAGATTCTTCTTCAACAACTGTGATTTTCTCCTACAACGACACCACCATGGACAGCTTTCATCTAAACTATATGATTTTTCTTTCTCCAATTGTGAATATTCGATTCATGATCATGATGATCTCGTTAGGAGACGCTCTCTTCCATTGTCGATATTAAGTTGGACTAGTTTGTTGCCTGTCGGATTCCATCGTTGTTTACCTTGTTCTCATTTGGAAATCTCTTATTTGGGTCGACGAAGATTTACAATCCTGGTGCCGAAGAAGCAAGAGACTTACTCTTCCGGAACACCTGGTCTTACGATGTATAATTGTACTTTTTCTCCGTGTAAACTTTTTTGGATGTGAGTTTGAATAACGTTTCTTTCGACATGTCGGTATTTTCATTGTTGTTAAATTATTCAATTGTTAATCAAAATTATATAAATGGTTACTTTTTTTAATTTTGTGGAGCATAGTTGAACGATGTTGATTTTTAAAAAAAAGGAAAAAACCAAGAATAAAACACCAACGTACTAACCAATACGTAATGACATTGTATTTGTTTTTAATTACAATTTTACTGATATGATAACGTTCTTTTGTTTTTTATACATGAAATGTCCCGGCAACATAAATAGGTATAACATAGTTATCATAAACCATCTAAATATCCAATTTTGTAACAATCAACGCATCAAATGCACACACGAAGAAATACAAATAGGTAGTGAACACTTTTGTATTTACTTCAAAACTTGTCATGACTGCGAATAAAGGAATAGAGTTATATAAATTAATTTTGTCATGCTTTTTCTGTATATATAGTTTGACAATTAAAACAAAATGCCAATCAAATTTTCGCAACAAAATATGAGATATGTGAACTTTGCACTCAGATTGGTTGTATTTCTCGATGGTTTCAACATACACATAGTGCAAGATTTAATATACAAAGACTGTTTATGCTACATATATGAAAACCCATGAAGGTTAAAGCCTTACCGGTCAATATTCTAAATTCTAAAGTCAGGATTTTAACTTTCTGATGCATTCGATGTAAAAAAAATGTTTTTGACGACAAAGGCTAAATATCTAAACTACTTTTATTGTTTCATTTTAACCCTTACGAGAATCACATGACTTATGTTCTTGATGAAGGAGAACATCGTTTTAAGGGAGGGGGATGATTGACTTATTTTGTCTGAAATGGTATGTATTTTTCCCTGTCTCGTCAGTAATGATATTTTCTGTATGCATGTTTTCCGTGTGTTAAGAATATAATCTAAAACATGTGTTCCGTAATAAAAAAAAAACCTGATGTAGATCCTGCTTTATGTACTAAACTGTTCACGGATGTCTAGCTAAAGCCGGTTTAACTAAAAGTAAACATTTCAATGGAGTTGTTTTTTATGATCCCGGATTATACATAGTTACACGTAGTGCTTGACAAAGCAACCAGTGCAAATGTACATTGTATCTTTCTGTGATTCGAAACTCGAACCATCTTCCAACAAAACGTTAAAACAATCCAATGGCGATTTCATGTTTTATCGTTCTGTTCCCATGCCATAAGTACGTGAAGATACATTTAAGTTACATAGCGAATATCTGAAGTATACCGAAATTAACGGAACTCCATAACAAAGTTTTAAGTTCACGAAGAGAGGAAGTTATAATACAGATGTAGCTGTGTCATGAAATAGTGTGCTACGTAAACAAATCTGATTTTGATTGAAAATACAATTTGACATATTTGCTGTCTAAGGGAATGTTTGTGTTATCTCAAAACCAGATAGATCTGGTACAGTATCTCAAACTTTGACACCATTAGGCCAAGGCGGTCAAGGTCGCAAGAAAGTGCCATTATTGAATTTCGTTCTTCTGTGCCAATGCTTACCTTTTACCTTAAATTCGCCTTTATTTTAATATCACAGCCCCGTAAGTACAATTATCATTAACCCACATAAACTCATATAGAACATTTAACATGATGTCGAATATTGTACAAAAGACACACAGGTAATTAGCACCTCTCAATCCAATGTAAGAATTAGCTGTAGTAGCGCCAAATAAATAAATCAGACTGCATCATACAGCCGTTTCGTCCATCTAGCACTCACCAGTGATGATAAGTTTTGAAGTCGAGGAGGCGCAGGAGGAAAATTCGAATCGATAAAAGACATCGACATTGAAAGATGCACCATTATAATACATTTCGTCATTTTCATATCTTGTGATATTCAAATAACGTCACGTACACGTGTATATTCTAAACCATGACACTATTCGAAAGAATTACAACGTTGCATGCAGGTTACGGCAGACTTCGATCCTGTCAGACTGATACATTATATGTCACATATCCCATCCAGCGTCATTAGTCGCTTGTTTGTCGGTAACCCATAAGCAGTGAGTTTTTTTTTATTACGTACCGACGGGGGCAGCTGAATATCAATACATTTTCAATGGATTTATCTCTAACACTCAACAGATTCAACAGATTTTGTGCATTTTAGATAAGGTTAGTATTCCCAGTATTTTTATCAACATTGCGACGGGACACGACAATATCATTTACGTTTACACGCGTCATATGTCATGTAGTAAAAGTACCATTTCAATTGCAATTATATAATAATGTATAAACACAATCAAGAAATTAATACTAGTGTTCATTGGTAAACAAATACTATTCAAACCCAAATATCAGTATTGAACGACCGAAAAAATATTTGAAAAAATCGGTGAATTTAAAATCAACATTCTCCTCGAAACTTTGACAAATATGCAATTATCCATATGAATTCCAAAGACTGGAAATGACAAACACCATTTGCGAACACGGCATTAACAAAATGCTAGGTTATTGGTGCGATGGACAAAATGCTGTTTTCAACAGTGCGGAAGTTTATATTCTTTTATACTGTAATTGGTTAGTGAATAATAGTATTGCTGTGATATATAAATATTTCACCACCTCCTTTCAAGGGAAGTTTTGTATTTGTATGATATGTATTGAAAATACATCGAAATTGAAAACCTTAAATTTCTAGCATCCGAAACGCTATGTCTTGCTGCCAAAACATATGCATAGTTAATTAGTGAGAACATGTGAATGAAATTTTCGTATATGCAATGATCACCCGAGAAAACCTTGAAAAGTGATTGTCTCTACTTCCTGCGTAACACTCGAAGTATGATAGGTAACGATATTCAGCCGTTGTCGGTTATAAAAGGACCGCATGGGCTGCTTTGCTGGGGATCTTCGGAAGTGTATTTTAGTTTGGTAACACCATGAAGTCGACATTAGTCATACTATAAAAAGGAAGCTTACACAAAACCTGCTACAGCATCCCAAAACCACGCAAGCAAAACAAAATGCTTAAAAGTATCATATCAACATCATATGAAACCAAACCATACCATGTGGATTGGGAAATTGAAAATAGTAAAGAAAAGAGACATGTGATCCATTCAACTAAAACCTTGAAATACGGAAATGACGTAAAAGATATTACTTTACCACGTTTTCAAAGAATTTCTTCGATATGCAAATGAACATGTGTGATACTTGTTATTTTGCTTGTTGGTTACGTTGTTGTATACTTTGTTCTCATTGAAGAACGTGACATGACTGACTTGGATTGACCAATATTTACATGTTGTGGATGAAGCAGAGGACACTCCCTCTTCCGAAACACCTGATCTTATTATTCTTCTGTTCAATTTTTGCTCTTATTTTATAGACATTGAGGTAGGATTATTGAAACATAACTCTAATTACAGCTCTATAAACAGGATATAATTGCAGTAAGAACTAATAGGAAACTTGCAGGCAGTACAAAAATACACAACACAAATAGTGTAAAGATAAACAAGTTTTGACAAATTTAAAATTAATTTTAGAATTCGAGACAAACGTGTAATGGCGTTAACTACTATGACGGGGTTTAGATCGTTACAAAATGAAATATATGCCAACTGTGATGAAATGAATAGGAAAGAATACTCGATAAAATGAGAGAGGGAAACGATGGATGCTAAACGCAATGTATTAAAAACACCAGGAAAATGGAAACGTGTCAATATAATCCTAACCCGAACTCAGACTCAACAAAACCAAAGCAAAATAGGAATAAAAGAAAGAATTAAAAGGGGACTCCCGAAAAAGTACAAGGAGATATTGATTAGGTG